CACATGGGAGTGACTTGGGGTTAGAGCTTATTTATACTTCTAGGTAGAGTGAAACACTTGAATCTAATTTGATAACCCTTTGACTTCCATGAGTGACCAAGACAGAATTTCTCCTTACAATATCAATACAATGCTAGTTCAGTTTCAGTCACTATTTACACATGCTTTTTGGAATATATTTTCAAGGGCTCGTATGGTTAGATTCTTACTGCAGACTTCCGTTATTATCACTATTTTGAGCGAGTTGAATAGAAACTGAAAAGGAACTGTAATTCTGACATGTTTCAAGGAGACTTTGCCCTCTAAACTGCGGGTAAACTGTTCCCCACGAAAAAATTGAATGTAATTGGACAATATAAAGAGGACAAATTTTATCCTAAATACAGCAACAGCTCACTTGCTAGGCTCATATGAACCGTCCCTTGAACATTTTAAAGAAGTGGCATGCACTTTACACAATAAAAGTATTTCATAAACACGACATGCATCTTACATTTACTCCATCTCACATCCCGAGGAGCAAGGAGAGTTCTACTCAGACGATACTGTACTGGGTGACAGTGTATCGACATGGCGGGTTTCTTCGTAGGATACTGGTTCAAAATCCATCGTTTCCTTCGATGCGATTTGTTTTTGCATATCTTCTTGTCTCTCCTTAATGGCAGTAATTTCTAAACTGAATCCATGAGTTTCAGCAAGGAACAATGCTTGGCTTGCATAACTTTGTGCTGCCTGTAGATCTCCAAGCCTGTAATTTAGGTCTGACTTGGCCACAAAGAATTGTATCATCTGTCCCTCGCTCATTTCTTTCCGATACTTTTCTTCAACTGTCTCGAGGCAGGTTTTTGCATCTGCGATGCACTTACTACTTGTTAGCTGTTCCCGGGCTGCTCTTGTGCGGCAATTTAGATCCAGCAAAGCTAGTTTTAGAAGTCCAAAGTGGTGTTTTTTAATGTAAATGCTGCCATCGTCGAGTTCTATGCATAGGGCTATGCACTGCTTCATGTAGTCCTTCGACTGTTCGACAAGCTTTCTGCGTGCGAACCGATCGAGAGGTACAGAAGAAATGTACTTGGTCAAATTACTAGCCTTTTCATAGAACATCAAGGCTACCAAGAAGCGCGAGTTTACTTTTCGCGAGTTCTGATCGGCAATTTTAATTGTGGATTCTGCTTTTCCATGCTTGCTCTGTCGTCGGTAAAAGCCGGTTAGGTGAAGATTTGCCATTGATACCAGGAAGTCGAGCATCTATACTTTCGCTTTCGATTTCAAGGTGTCTAAAGCTTCTAGGACCATCGTTTCTGCCGTCTCCAAGTTGTTTTGATAGCTCACGACAACGCTTTTCTCGATAAGAATTAAGAGTTCGAGCTCTGCATCGCCTTTGCTAGCTGAAAGGATACGGTCTAAGAGATTAATAAACTCCTTGAAATTTCCACTGTCTCGTAGAGGATGCAGATTGTTCAAAACAGAATGGAATTTCTTCATCGAGTTCTCAAAGCCCCGATCGTATTCCCCAGAGGCAGTTGGGAAAATTTCTGGTCCGTAAGATGCGTCTTCTTCGCTTTCGCTTGAAATAGCTTTCGAAGAAAACTTGGGATTGGCTCTGTGTTTACGTTGTGGGAATCTAATTTTACTTTGCTTCCTCTTTGTACCTCGCCATTCACCATCGTAGCTCGTGGTTCTTCCTGACCAACAATCTGTGTCTTGCTTAGGATACTTAAGTCGCCGACAGCATTTATTCACAATGTTTCCATCTCCAATGACTAAGGTTCCAATTTGGCAATTGGAAATATTGATATTGCTCATCGCGTTTGCATCAGAGATAAGTTGATGTCCCGCCATTATTGCTTTCCCCGTAACGGGAAAACATCAGGAATGACGTCACTGTATTTTTTTTCAACGGGCTTTGATTGGTTCTGTGGAACTTTTGCGCCTGCAGTAAACGAAAGTAAACACTTCGAAGTAGATTCATTCGAAGATTTTGGCGGTATATTTTTGGCGGCATTTTCGAGCTACATCGTATGTGTCCTGTGGGTTTTCATACTTTGCCAGTTGGCCAAGTGGTGAACTGAGAGTAGCTTCTACTCCATCAAAAGTGAACTACTCACAGGTAATTTTGCATTCTGACTCTGATCTATTATTTCATCTCAACGATCACTAAGATCCAGGAGTAATAATGACTCAGCGATAGGTTTAGCCGGCGCATCATGAAAACCTAGAGGAAAAAACAATTTTTTTTTTATTTGAAGACAGAGCGTTTTACAGTTTGAATCAACAAATTATGGCCATTAGATCCGAGGATGTATTTTTTTCAGTTCTTGCTGTGACACTACATAAGATAAATCATTTCACAGTAGCGTCTCCAGCGCGTGACTGAAAACACGACTTTTCCCTGCAGAAATAACTAAATCTGTGTAATGTGCAAATCTTGGAAACCTTAGGGAAATTTTTTGTCATTCGATGAGAAAACATTTAAACATTTCAATCAGCGACTAATTCCCTAAAAATTCTGCTAAATTTGTGGAGCAATCAGAGTCCGAAATACGATGCCTTGACCGGATGACGTTATTCGAAGGAATGATAAAGTTGGAATGATGGAATATCCATAGACACGGAATGACGGAGTATCTTGAAACGCAGAATGTCTCGTTGTATAAATCAAAAATCTCAAAAAATTGAATTGCTGTGAAATAAGTAATAGTTGACAGGAAAAAGGAAAAGATGCTTAGTGTTGTTATTATTGGAGTCCAGAAACTAAAATAAAACTGTTTATTCACACTATTTCAAGAGGTTACCACAGATTATAAAAGTCAGAATATATAAGAAACAGTAAATTACATCAATAATCAAAAGTAAAATGTGCACAGTGACCAAAGTAGCATAGCTTTCGAGTTGGCCACTGTCACGTATAATTAACTGGTGTATCTTAACATTTACACAAGACTT